AGAGAAGGGGAAAGAGAGCCATGGGGAATAGGGTGAGGGCTGTATTTTTGCAGGATAGTATAACGATGGAATGATGTAAGTGAGTAAGCTGTGGGAATGTCCAGGGGAGATTTCTCAGGCAGGGACCCGTAAGTGAGACAGAATGAAGCCATGTAGATTCAAGAGACTGGTGTGACTCAGCATGATGTACAAAGAGGAGAGTGAAGACAAGGAGATGAGGTTAGGGAGGTAGCTAGGCACATTCATGCAGGGTCTGATTGCTCAGGGTAAGATTCTTGAGCAGAGCTGTCCAAGAGAACATTGGGTTGATATGAAACCTATGTGTAATTTCAAACTTTCTGTCACTATTTTAAAAGAACTAAAAACAAATGGGTACAATTAATTTTTATACTGTATTGTTTTTAACCAGATATACCAAAACTGTATCATTTCAGTATGCAATCAATATAAAAACTTTGCGTGTGGCTTTCAAAAAACTTTGCTTAGAAAAACAGGTTGTGGGCTGTAGATTGCTGTCCCCTAAACTAAGGAAGTAGATATTCTTTTTTTTTAATTTATTTATTAGCCAAAACAATCTTGAGAAAGGAGAATAGAGCTGGAGGTATCATGCTCCCTGACTTCAGACTATACTACAAAGCTACAGTGATCAAAACAGTTTGGTACTGGTGCAAAAACAGATACATATATTAATGGAACAGAATAGAGAGTCCAGAAATAAACCCACATACTTATGGTCAATTAATCTATGACACAGGAGGCAAAAATATATAATGGGGAAAAGTCTGTTGAATAAATTGTGCTGGGAAAACTGGACAGTCACGTGTTAAAGAATGAAATTAAAACATTTTCTCACAACATACACAAAAATAAACTCAAAATGGATTGAATACCTAAATGTAAGACTGGAAATCATGAAACTCCTAGAAGAAAACATAGGCAGAACACACTTTGACATAAATCATAGCAACATTTTTTGGATCTGTCTCCTAAGGCAAAGAAAACAAAAGAAAAACTAGGCTTCCCTGGTGGCGCAGTGGTTAAGAATCCACCTGCCAATGCAGGAGACACGGGTTCGAGCCCTAGTCCTGGAAGATCCCACATGCCGCAGAGCAACTAAGCCTGTGCGCCACAACTACTGAGCCTGTGCTCTAGAGCCCGCGAGCCACAACTACTGAGCCTGCATACTACAACTACTGAAGCCCGTGTGCCTAGAGCCCTTGCTCTGCAACAAAGAGAAGGCACCACAATGAGAAGCCCGTGCACCACAACAAAGACTAGCCCCTGCTTGCGTACTAGAGAAAGCCCCCGTGCAGCAACGAAGACCCAATGCAGCCAAAAAGAAAAAAAAAAGAAAAAGAAAAACTAAACAAATGGGACCTAATCAAACTTAAAAGCTTTTGCACAGCAAAGGAAACCATCGACAAAACAAAAAGACAACCTACTGTATGGGAGAAAATATTTGCAAATGATATGACTGATAAGGGATTAATATCCAAAATATATAAACAGCTTATACAACTCAACATCAAAAAAACAAACAAGCTAATTAAAAAATGGACAGAAGATCTGGAGAGACATTTTTCCAAAGAAGACATATGGATGGCCAACAGGCACATGAAAAGATGCTCTTCATCACTAATCATCAGAGAAATGCAAATCAAAACCACAATGAGATATTACCTCACCCCTGTCAGAAAGGCTATCATCAAAAACACCACAAATAACAAATGTTGGCAAGGATGTGGAGAAAAGGGAACCCTCATACACTGTTGGTGGGAATGTACATTGGTGCAGCTACTGTGGAAAACTGTCTACAGGTTTCTCAAAAAGCTAAAAATAGAACTACCATATGACCCAGCAATTCCACGGTTGGGTATACGTCCAACAAAAATGAAAATAATTCAAAAAAATACATGCACCCCAATGTTCATAGCAGCATTATTTACAATTGCCAAGATATGGAAGCAACCTAAGTGTCTACCAACAGATAAATGGATAAAGAAGATGTGATGTATCTATATCTATCTATCTATCTATTTATATAAAATGGAATACTACTGAGCCATAAAAAAGAATGAAATTTTGCCATTTGCAACAACATGGATGGACTTGGAGGGTATTATGCTAAGTGAAATAGGTCAGATAAAGACAAATTCTGTATGATGTCACTTACATGTGGAATCTAAAAAATAAAGTAGTGAATATAAAAAAAAGAAACAGACTCACAGATATAGAGAACAAACTAGTGGTTACCACTGGGGAGAGGGAAGGGGGCAGGGGCAATAAAAGAAGGGTAGGGGATTAAGAGATACAAACTACTATGTATAAAATAAGTTACAAGGATATATAGTGCAGCACAGGGAATATGGCCAATATTTTATAATAACTTTATTTTATTTATTTTTAATAACTTTAAATGGAGTATAATCTATAAAATTTTGAATCACTATGTTGTATGCCTGAAACTAATATAATATTATAAATCAAGTATACTCAGTAAAAAGATAAGTAAAAATTTAAAAATTAAATTAGATATAATTGACATATAACATTATTTTAGTTTCAGGTGTATAATATAATGATTTGCTATTTGTATATAAACGAGACAAGAGGGAAGGGGGCAGGGCACAACCATTAAAAGAATGACACAGCCATTGAGGACACAACAATAACTGGTTAGAACCTACTAGGTCCAAGATGGCAGAAGATTCAATTTCCAGTAGAACTTGAGCCTCATTATATGCTCATTGTAATACATTATCATGCTAAGTGACACACCCACAAGTGCCATGACAGTGCTGAGGTAGACCATAAAAGACCAAAAAGTGGGCAGTGGCCCAACTCCTGGAAATCCCCGCCCCTTCCCCACAATAGTTGGAACAATCCTCCCGCTCATTAGCCTATGAAATCACCCAGCCCATAAAAACTAACCACCCTATATTTCAGGGCTGCTCTCACCTTCTGAGACAGCCCACACTCTGTCTATGGAGGGTGCATCTCCCAGGGCTGACCTTACCTTCTGAGACAGATCATATTCTGTCTATGGAATGTGTATCTCTGCCTTCCCTTTACTATGGTTTGCTCTTGAATGCTTTCCTGCGAGAAGCCAAGGACCCTCACCTGGTGGCCCATCCCAAGAACTCACCTGAGACCTGGGACATGACCATCCTCTCGTGCCCCATGTTCCTGCAACCTCTTTACAAAGGATATTAATAAATCTACTTCTTACCTATCACCTTGCCTCTTGCCGAATTCCTTCTGCACTGAAACATAAAGAACCTGAGCTTCATTAAGTCCTGAGATGAGTTGTGTGGTTTCAGGTGGAAGATTGTGGGTTCAAGTCCCAACTGAGGTGTGTGGTTTCATATTGGGAAATGATCCCTACAATAAGTCTAGTTAACATCTGTTACCATACACAGTTACAAAATCTTTTTTCTTGTTATGACAATTTTTAAGAACTAAAACTTTTTAAATGAGATGTTTTGCATTCTTTTTTTTACTAAATGCAATTGACTGCATATTTATGTTTCTTCCAGATTCATATGTTGAAATCCTAACTCCCAATGTGATGGTATTAGGAGGTATAGCATCTGGGAGATGATTAGGTCAAGAGTAGAGCCCTGGTGAATGGTATTCTGTCTCATAAAAGAGACCACAGAGAGCCACCCCATGTAAAGACACAAGGAGAAGACAGACAAAGAAAATAGAGGGAAAGACATAAATAATACATAGAAGTAGATCTCCCGGAGCTAAAGAAAGATCCAAGTCTTCAAATTAAAAAGTCTCATGAATGGATGAAAGAAAGAACCATATCTAGCCCTAACTTGGAGAAACTTCACAATTCCAAAGATAAAAAGATTCCAAGAAGAAACAAGAGGCTACATCAAAGGAATGAGAATTATATTGGCTCACATCAGTTACACTAGCTGCTAGAAAACAAGGGAATAACGGCTTTAAAATTTCTGAAGAAAAATGATTTTGAGCCCAGAGTTCTATACTCAGCCAAATTAGCATTTAAGTTTGGAGCAAAATATTTTTTTGACTTCCAAGGACTGAGGAAATTTATCAACCACAGACCGTTCCTGAAAAAAGTGCTTAAGGATGTACTACAGCAAAATGAAATAGGAATCCAAAAACAGAAAGAATTCAGGAAGTAGAAACAAGGCAATTAAAAGAAATCCTAGAATGCTGGTTGTGTAATAAGCCTAAAAGTGAAATAGTGTGAAGAAACTAGATCATCTTAGAGAGTAGATATAGGATTATTATAGTATTAAATTTGAAAATCACAATATATTCCATTTCTCCTTCAAGAGCTACAAGTCTAGTGACATATAATTATATCACCTTCTTTGCTTGATCCAAACGCTCTATGTGATCCTGCCATGAATATTTTTATATCACCAGCACACAGCAGATACTTGTTCTTGGTTTTCAATGTTGGGAATTAAGTTATAGACCATGTATGGAAAATGTAATTAACATTAGAGAACAGAGTATAAGTGTTATAAATTCCACAAACAGAAGTAATGGCATGTTGAGAGGTATAGGTCAGGAGGAATGAAAGATAAGGGGAAGTAAGTACAGAAGTGTTCAGCACCTCACCAGCAGAAAATCGAGATACTGCGTGCCGTAGCGCTGGGGGGGCTGGGCAAGGTAGGTAAGGGAGAGGGCACTGTGGGAGGGGTAGGAAGCAGGGCCCAAGGGGCACCGGGACAGGGGTATTGCACGTGTGACGTGAGACGAGGTGCACGAGGACTGGGAGTGGGGAGGACTGAGGACGTGTGAGAGGGCGGGCCACAGCAGGGTGCGGAGCGGAAGGGGCGTGGCAGGGGCGTGGCTTAGCGGGGAGAAGGGGAGCAGGCCCCCCACCCTTTGACCCGGGCCCCTGCGCAGACCAGTTACCCGCCCAGTTCTGGAGCTCGCGCGCTCAAACCTTGCCTCGCGTCATTTCGCTTCACCTCACGTCACTTCGCCTCGCATCTTCGCCTCAGCTAAGAGTCATGCCGCGCCTGCCGGTTGTCTGCCTACTTCCCCGCCGCCGTGTGACCCTGCTGGTGCTGCAGCCTGGCCAGCGCCTGGTCCACTTGACGCTTCCGCGCCAGCGCCCCGCGTCGACCATCGTGAGTTGGGACCCACCCGTTGGGGTGGCGCAGGCGGGTCGCGACGGACGGGAGCGTGTGGCCGAGGCGGGGAGGACGCTGCCGCCGCTCGGGTGGGAGGCTTTGGTGGCCGGGCCGCAGTTCAAGGGCTCAGAGGCCCGGTGGGGGCCCGGGGCGGCGTCGCGGTGAGGGTGCCGGGGTTGGGCCTGAGGCGGCGGGAAGCGGGGACCTGGAGAAGCGCGCGGGCCTCAGAGGGCCGAGCCTTCGTCGTCGGTACCTTTTATGGGCGCGAAGTCCGAGGGGCACAGCTGTCGTTGCCCATCTCAGAATATCTGCCACCTTCCATCGCCCTCTAAATTGCCAAGACGTAGCATTTTCCCTAAAACGCTGGAAATCGTGGGCAGCGTCTAGCTTCCAGAGTTCAAAGGTCAGAACTGGGGCGCCATGAAAAGGAAAATGAGTTTTCTTCAGAAATTTCTATTGGGTCGCCTAGGAAGGGAGCTCCCACTTTTTAGGTTTCACCAGCCCCCCGTTTTGATGACAACAGCCAAACTCCTCAAAACGTTTAGAGCGGTTTTCGTTCTTTCTTTCGTTCGGCAGCGAGTGACTGTTCCCGGAAGCCGCCGTCGCTAACAGGGTTTTTCATCTTCTCTTCCAGGCGGTGGCTATTGCCCTCGCGGTGTTTTTCACCGCCTTCTTAACCCCCGGTGGGTATGTGCTTAGCAATCTGAACCAGTACCGAAGACAGTAGTGGGAGAAGATGTAGAGCAGCTGTTTATGTCCAGCAAACTTTCAGAAAACGCTGTGGCTTCTTGAAATGCGCAAAAATTCGTAGTTGGGTTGATGATGCAACCATTGTGGGTATTCACTTTCATAACCATATGCTTATGGTGAATATTTTGCACTTTTTTGGTATTGTGCATCATAGAGTTATACAGTCACTTAAAAATGTTAAATAAAGTTGAGACACTTGTTCATGCTTGGTATTAATGTGTGGTCACAGGATATTTTCAAAACGTCGTGAAAGCCGACGAAATCTACTGAAGGAAAATACGCTTGACCCTTGAAAGGTGGGGAGGTGCGGGCCTCCGGAGGGGAGGGGGCGGTGCGGGCAGAATTAGGAGTGCTGACCCTCCCTGCGGTCGAAATTCCCTCCGTAGCTTTACAGTCTGCCCTCCAGTATCTGAGGTTCTGCCTCCGAGGGTTCAGCCAACCTCGGATCTTGTAGTATATATTTGTTGAAAAAAATCCCTGTGTCAGTGGACCTGTGTTGTTCAGGGGTCAGTTATACACTAATGAGAACTGCAACGTAAGACCAGACTTACTGAACTTTTTTCTTCTCTGACTCCGGTGATTGTGCGCTTAAGCTTCTAATGGCTGCCTCCATGTGCTCCAGCTAATGACAAAGGAATGGTCTACCTTTGTGCTGGCTGGGGAAGAATATTGCACTGAAGGGGTCTTTGCCATAAAACTGGAGCGCTTAATTTTCTGAACCATTTACTTGACACACGTATTTATTGAGTATTCTCATGGAATAATGCTATATGTTGGGAAACGGTAGTTCATTTTGGTGAACAAATTCTGTTGCCCTGTCTTATTAATTTTACATGCGTAAAGGTGTCACTTTCAAAGTACAGTGGATTCTTGTTATTTGGGGTAGTTTTATTATGTAGTCAGTGAATGCTGAATTAGTACACACTGAACCACTGCTCCTAGGGGAAGTACAGGCTTAGGTTCCTGTGAGCCTCTGGTCACAATATGTTTCTCAACCTATCAATATATAACCTGATTTTATGTGTGTTTCTATTTAAGGACACTGTATTTATTATATATTATTGATTCATAAGTATTGTACTCATGGCTGACTGCACTATAACTCATGTCGGATTGAAGCTTATCTAATACGTATATTTTTCCTCTAAGGCACATCACGATCTTGTGCTTAGACACTCCAGACAGCACTTCAGCACTATGCTTGGGGACCATTTTATTTTTTAATTTTAATTTATTTTATTTTTTAAAATTTATTCAAGTACAGTTGATTTACAGTGTTGTATTAATTTCTGCTGTATAGCAAAGTGATTCATTTACACGTATATGCATTCTTTTTCATATTCCTTTCCATTGTGATTTATCACAGGATATGGAATATAGTTCCCTGTGCTATACAGTAGAACCTTGTTTATCCATGCTGTATGTATTGGTTTGCTTGGGGGCCATTTTAAACAGTGAAATCTCCAACAAAAAGTACAAAAATGTAAAAAATGTGACACTAAGTAGACCATGGAAAGGACACTTGTTTACAGTATGAGAACTGAAATAAGAAGTTAGAACATAGCCTTGTTTGACCTTAGCATTGGGCGATTCAAATTTTTCACCACCCCCACATGTCTGTGAATGATGTGAAAGTGTTGTGAGTATGGATTTGGGGATTGCTAATCAATTTTAGCAAGTAGGAGAATTTGCAAATATGGACTCTATAAATAATGAGGATCAAGGGGAATTTCTTGGAGGAGGTCTTGGTTCTATTTGTGAGGTGTTTTGGAAGATTTTATTTTGAAATCTTAAGAATTTACAGGATGTTCTTTGGGGAAGAATTAGTGTGTAGAAACTTTCATGTCTTCAGGTTAAATTTTTGTGGAATAGTTTTAAAATGTGAGTTTGGGGAATAAATGAAGTAGTTCAACTCTTGGTTTAAAAGTGAGATCTGACAAACTAATGATTTTCTTGGTGAAACAGCTGATTATAAAATATTTTGACAGTGATATCATTGTTAGAACTTTCACTCTATTTCCCAGATGAGTACTTTATTGGCTAACATCCAGTAGGTATAAAGTTCCGGTATCTGATCATCACCATATGCATATACTGCCTAACTCATCTCCATAGCCAGATTTAAAATTCCTTGAGGAAGTGTGAGGTGTGATAATTTTTTAATCCTTAGGTGTAGGGTAGTAGATAAATCAAAATATTTACTCTTTGATCAGAAGACTGAAATTGCTCCTTCATGTGAACAGGCATTTAGTGAGCATCTATTATGTGGTCTATAGATGGGAAAACAGATAGTTCCTATCTTATTGTTTTTCTGACATTTAGCTCAAAGGCTGGCAAATATTCTGAGCTCTTTTTTTTTTTTTTTTGATATAAACTGTTGAGTGGTTAAACTGCTGATGAGACAAATAGGGTTCATCTCTCCTGCCAATTTCAGTCCTTTCTAGTAGTGGCTGTGTGTAGTGCTGTGTTGAGGAAGATTACAGAAGATATGGAATAATTTTAATTAACAGTATAAGTAAAATGTAGCATTTATATCGACTAAGCTTGTCCTTTTTCTTTGATAATTTTTGGCAAAGAAATTTATAGAAATTATAAATTCAGGTCTTTAGACAAGACTTATAAATCATTTATAACATTTAATTTATAAGCATGATGAACACAGTATTTAATTTGTAAGCATGATAAATATATTTGTGGCAAATATTTCTGTCAGATTTTAAGAAAGATTGATGATTATGAAATACTTTTATTCAGAAAGATCAGGGGTAAGCCATTTTTCAACACAGAAAAAACATTTTCTGTGAAGTTCTATTTATTTTTAAAGTTCTGTTGCTATGGCAAGTTGCTGAGTTTGGATAAATCACTTTACTTCTGGAAGGCTGTTTCCTTTTCTGTAAAATCAGCAGGTTGACCTAGACCAGTGATTTTTAACTTTTTTGCTTTATTCAAAGCAGTATGTCACTGAAAGATTTTGTGGCCTACCGTGTAAGCAGGGCATTAAAATTTTTTTTTTTAAATAGTAACCTGAGATTAGTCAGAATTAAACTTTGTAAATCAAGTACTGATTAAAATTGATCCTATAATTTATGCACATATATGTACACATATACATTCAATATGATACTTAGGGTAGGCCTATCATGGGGAAAATCACTTCTCTAATATATTCATTTTGTCAGCCTACACTTCTCTCAGCTTTATTACCCCGTTGTTCCCACCACACCTTTACTTAGCATCATTTGGACTTCGCCATTCTCTTCTGTGAGGAACCTGTTGTTTTTCCTTTTTCCTTATCCACCCTTCCCACCTTACCCACTCTCATTTAAGTGTTCTACTGCCAGTACCTCTAACTTCTTTGCCCTTTTATCTTTTTGTTCATGTGCCCTCCAGAATACAAATCCTATATCAGTCTTAGTCCCTCGATTTTGGCTCAGGCAAGAGCTGCAAAGGAAATGAAAGAATCACACTGTTACTGCTATTAGAAATTCATTGTCTCCAAACTCATAAGCCTGTAGTGCTTCTTGAAATTCCTTTCTCTTTTCCTTTCCTTTATCATGATAGTGGCCATTTTAAATCTCATGTTCTATTGATTTATTATATTAGCCCTCTAGCTAATCTTAACAGAGTACCTCATCTCCTACTTCACAGAGGAAGTTGAAACTATTCCTTAATTCTTGCCCCCTTATCTACAAATGTAACTGAATCCAACCTATCTTTCCTCTAATTGCAGTGGAATGGAGAATTACCATTCTAGGGCTGACCCTCTTTTCTGTGCTCTGGGTCCTACATCTTTCCTACCCTATGGGATACAAAGCTCTAGCAATTGTCTAACTTAGATTTCTCTTTACCGACTCCATCTCGTGATAATTTAAATATGCTCAGCTTTCATTCCTTAAAAAAGGGGAAGAAGCCCTTCCATCTCCCTTAACATAAGCATCCAAGTTTTTGGTAGCTTTCTCAACTTCTCCACTGATTGAGTTTTCAGTTAACTGAATGCTTATTTCTACTCATCATTGATATGCTCTCCAAGGTCATCAGTAGCTTTGTCACTAAATCTAGTAGATAGCTCTTAGTCCCTACCTTTTTGCAGTATTTCGCATTATTTACTCTGGTTTTGAAATAATCTCCTCAGTGGTATCACACTTAACGGTATCACAAACTTCTCATTTATCTCATCAATTTGATTGCTCTTTCTTAGTCTTAGCCTCTTTCCCCTTCTGCTTAAAATTTCTTCTCTCTGTATATTCTCAGCCTTTGGATGGCTTCAGTTACTTATTGATTACTCCCAAATCAGTCTTTCTGTCCTAGATCTTTCTCTTGAAATCCAGGTAGTTATTTCTGTGTGCCTAGCATTTCCTCTTTGATAATGCATAGACACTTCAGATTAAAAATACCCAAACCTGAAATCTTTCTCCCCTCAAATCTGCTATTCAGGGACTTCCCTGGTGGCACAGTGGTTGGGAGTCCTCCTGCCAATGCAGGGGACACGGGTTTGAGCCCTGGTCCCGGAAGATCCCACATGCCGTGGAGCAGCTAGGCCCGTGCGCCACAACTACTGAGCCTGCGCTCTAGACCCCGCAAGCCACACTACTGAGGCCCCTGCGCCTAGAGCCCATGCTCCGCAACAAGAGGCCACCGCAACGAGAAGCCACCACAACGAGAAGCCTGCGCACCGCAATGAAGAGTGGCCCCAGCTCGCCACAACTGGAGAAAGCTCGTGCACAGCAATGAAGATCTAATGCAGCCAAAAATAAATAAATAAATTTATTAAAAAAAAAAAATCTGCTATTCATCCTGTATGCATTCATTCATTCATTCAGTGTTTGAGCACCTCCTGTATACCACTGTACACTGTGCTAGGAACTGGAAATATACAGGAGAATCAAATAGATAAAGTCGCTGCCCTAACTTAGTCTAGAGGGGGAGGTAGACAAACATGTCAACTTAAATACATAATCACAAATAGGATATGAAGAA